TGAAACCACACTGCAAAGTGGTTTTTAACGGTGCCGTAAACGAAAAAAACGAATACGGTCATTCGGGCCAAAGCTGAGCTGCGGTGTAGCGAGGTCGTTTTTCTTTTCTGCAGCGACGTCGTTGGGATTGCCGGGCTGCACTAGGATAAAGCAAAAGCCAACACCGATGGTTTTAAATAATATATATAAACGTGGTCGTTCATCTCAAAGCAGCTCTGCGGGAATTTGCTTGCGGGATTGTTCCAAATCGCAAGAGGAAACAATGTTGCACGTCAACGCTGCGTTGGTTTTCGAAAAAAAAAAAGATAAAAAAACGTTGGCGTTTCGGTTCCACTACGTGTCGGAATAATGCAGCTCTGCAAGTTTGCGTTTACAGAACTATTTCAAAACACTTCCGCGATAAACCAAACAATGATGCGAGTTTTATTTAGACTCAAACATGGCTTGGAATGGTGGGCCAAAATAATGATGGAATTAATTAGAGGCCAATCTGGATGTGTGGAACGTTATGATGGTTGTGGATTTCTTCATACCCAACGAAAAGGAACCAGAGCAATGGTTTGTGTCCAATTTAATGGGCAACTGTGATAGTAATCACAGCCATGGAAGTTTATCGCCAATATGGAGATTTTAGGTGAAGTTAATGTTCATTTTAGGTGTTTTGGATTATGTCAACGATTTGGTTCATAATTCTTGTAAACCAAATTGTGGGGGCATTTGTTGACACCTAAGATTAATTTGGTCTGAATTAAATGCCGCATTAATTAGTCTAGGCATTTAATTCGATACCGCGGATAAAAAAACAGTATCGTTTGGAGTTGAGCGGCATCGCGGAGAGTTAAAACGATACCGCGAAATAAAAAACGGTACCGCAAGGAAGCTCAGCGATACCGCGACACTGGAAACGACACTACTTACTGGAAAACAAGATATGGGCCCCGCGTGTAGCATTGGGGTTGGAAAAGGAGTTTTTTCATTTTTATTCCTTGTCGGAATGGGAGAAGCGATACCGCGTTGAGACAAGCGGCATTGCGTAGAATTAAAACGGTACCGCGGATTTAAAAATGACACCGTGAAGAGGCTGGACGGTACCGCAATGCTGGAAACGACTTTGTTTGATAATAATAAAATACAATGTCGCGAGAAACGGCACCGTTCAGTCAATGTTGGTATTATTGTTGGAAAAGGAGTGCTTTTTTATTCCTTGACGGAAGAGGAGAGAAACGACACCGTTTAGTGATAAGCAATGTTGTGGAGGGGTTTAACGATGTCACGGAAGTCAATGACATCGTCAAAATCCCAACAATGCCGCTAGCAAACGAAATCCCAATGACGAGAGTGTTTGAAATAAAAACAATGCCGCGGAAGAAAAAGCAAACAGAGCTGTTTTGGGGAAGAAAACGACACCGCGAGTAAACCCAACGACACCGCGGATTAGAAAACGATATCGCGAGAGGCCTTGGTATGCGATGCTGATTAATTAAACAATATCGGGTAAGTAATTGGTCCAAAATCTGCCCAACCCAACACGAGTGCAAAGTCACTCGGCGGTTTAATGAATTGCTTTTTTATTTTTATTATAATTGTGTTGGACGGTGTCGTTTGATTAAAAACAATACCGTGAGTAATCCCAACGATACCGCTTAAGGAATTATCAACAACGCCGCGGTATGGGTAAAACGACACCGTTTAAATCGAAAACTACACCATAGCGGGTAGGGTTTTCGCGGCTTGCCAAGCCCAACGGAACCGCAAGACGAGAAAACGTCCCCGTTTGGTAGAGAACAATATCGCGGATGAAACACGACACTGTTTAGGACCGGGCCTGAGCATTTGAGTTGTGGCTGTGAATTTGACAAGGTTGGCTTGGATTAATCAAAAGCGATATCGCGGAAAGATTAAATGGCATCGCGAAGCTCAACAACATCGTAGAACTAGAAAACGATGTTGTTTAATTAAGAACGGCGCCGCGAAGTGAGAGTTTGACGGCGTGTCAACAATGATGGCCGGTTTAATTAATTAATATTTTAAGAATTATTTTAGATGGTGTCGTTTAGTCGAAAACGACATCGTGGGAGATATCAACACCGTCGCGGTGTGGATAAAGAATTCTGTTTACTTGAAAACAGTTCGCATTGAACACGCGAGTTTCGCCAACGAAACACTAGTGAACTTAGAGGCTAAGATAAAGAATTCATGAACCTTCACTATAACAAAACACAACTCTAATGACATTTATTTAGTGACATTTTTATTTGTGTCGCTTTAAGGTGAAAAATCACCTTCTTTTTTGTCGAAAGAGATCACTTGAATTACCAAGAAAATGAAAGTTACACGAGACCAACTTCAGAGCACAACCACGCTGAACAGTCAAAACCAACACAACACCCCATAGGAAACAAATCCAGGGCCTTCTTGGCCACAAAATGGGTCACCCTATTGTTTTGTCTACCTACAAACACCACACTAAACCCAACATTACTTGCCCAAAGTTAGGAGATTTCCTGAAGAATCGCTCAAGCCCGCGCATCTCGAGTGATCCCTGCATTAACTTTGTCTATCACCACTTTTGCATCACCAAAGAACTGGACCGCAATAAGCGTTGTCTCCACACACCAAGCATTGCATCACCATCACCACCATCAGCATTGGATCCACCATACCATCGTAGCATGTCCCCCATAATCGTGACGACCTCTACGCCATGATTTTGACACCAGCGAATCACGTCCCGCAAAGTCGATAATTCAACAAGCATCGGATTCTTAAGATCGGTAAACATCAATCCCTGCGCCGCAACCACCGCACCACCCACATCTCTTAAGACCACTCCACCTGCTGCATGGGACCCCTCTCAGACCGCCCCATCAAAGGAAAATATCACACCGCCCAAAGGACCATCAGCCACAGCAGGATGATTAGCGCCTTGACTTACCGAGGGCTCCCCAACACGATTCTCATCCCCATGGGGAATTTGCTCCCACTCAGAAACTTGATTGTGAAACTCCTGTCGGAGAATACTTGGGAGAGGATGTTGCCCCTCAAAGGCCACAGAATTCCTCCCCTTCCATATTCTCCACACTAAGCACATCAACCGCAAAACACGCATTGGAGACTAATTCCGCTCTATAAACCGCCTGAAAAAAACATTAAAACACCCAACCGACAAAACATCTAATTCAGAAACCAGCCCGACAACCTCCCACAACCCTCTCGCAATCGGATAATACAATAAAATATGTTCAGTTGACTCCTCTGGCGCCCAGCACACCGGACACAGAGCGAGGACCTGCACCTTTTTCTCATGCAATGCCTCCATCGTGGGCAAGATCCGCCGCAAAAGCTCCAAAGCAAAAATATTAAACTTCGGCTGAACGGGCATTTCCCAAACCTTAATCCAAAGTGTCGATCCAACGTGCTACATTCCTCCTTTCCTCCCTACCCACGACGAGACAAGCGCTTCGCCAACCTATATCCGGAATTTACAGTATAAACCCCCGAGGGGTCCTCATCCCAATCCAACCTATCCGGCATTGCCATCCGTGGTAACGGGATTTGCATAATGCCTCGAATCGTCACTTGATCAAATGTTGAAGTCAAACAATCCATACACCAGTTTCCTGATTCCGGATCAATCAAATCCGACACTATCTCAAAACCTACCAAAGGAGCCTCCACTAGTAAACCAGGTTTGGAAGGATGAATCAACGGAATCCAGCCCTCCATGAAAATCGAACCCTTCGAAAAGTATTTAGCTTTATAAATCTTGGCTAGCAGAGAATCCGGCTCTGAGTGGATGCGCCACGCCACTTTCGCCAAAAGAGTCGGATTAAAGAGCTCAAACCTACGAAATCCTAAGCCACCCTCATGCTTATAGTAGAAGTATATTAACTATCATTTACGACTTTTAACATTCTGTACCACAACATAGCACCCCGTACCAGGGTGGTATTTTGTGGTATTGTGTGCTATTTTTTTCTCATGTTACTTGTTAACCCAGAAATTTGTAGATCCAATAGATCATGATGAACTTGTACCTTTTGTGCAAATGTTTTCAAATACGAATAAAAAACGAAGAAGATACCATATGGTATGCAGTTGGTATCGAGAGGCAAGAATTTTTTTCTCAAAAAAATATTGAAAATGGAACTTGTTTTGTAGAGCACAATAAACTCGTTCCATCTGTGCAAAAAAAAAAATAATTGAAATCCGAGTTAAAATGAAGAAGATATGAGCCGATTAAGAAAACGAGAGAAAATAAAAATGACTTTTAATTCTCCATCCCTAGATCTGGATTTTTTGATTGAAGCGTCCAGATTTAGTTATTGATGGGTGCATGGTTATGCACCCTATCTTGAACCACAAATGGGAAGGAAAGGGGTTTTCAAAATAGGGAAGAGAAAACAATAAATAAGTAAGGAAAGTGGAACTGGGAAAAATAAATAAGAATGAATGACAGAGGACGGTGGGGTTGCACGAAAAAAGAGGTTGATATGATCTGGTGTCGTAGTTCGTACATAAACCCATTAATGCAAAGAAATTTGAAATCAATCAACGGCTGTACTTTCTCAGCCCAATGTAGTGAACTCAAACTTACATGAAACCTCCCGAAGCTAATCAGAATATCCCTCCGTGAACAATAGATTCCGATTTTTTCTTAAGGAACAGTAATTTTGATTTTTGGTAATTTTTTTAACTTGTGCTATAATAATTCTAATACTACTCAGCTATGGATATAATCATAGAAAGTGGACAATATATATTAAATATAGTGATTAATTAAGTCGTTTGCAAGAAAATGAAAGTTATACGAGACCAACTTCTGAGCACAAACACACTCGGAAGTCAAAACCAACACAACACCCCGTAGGAAACAAATCCAGGGCCTTCTTGGCCACAAAATGATCCCGAATACAACTTGGAGAATGAAAAAAAATGAAAAAAAGAGAGAGGAGCGTGTAGTAGTACGTAGTAGAGGAGCTAGGAGGCAGACACGGAAGTCATATCTTGTGGACTGAGATAGAACAGTCAACGAGTATTATGGTAGCATTGAGGGTAGAGCCACAATTGCGGTGGATGTATTTGCTGGCGTCGCCGAGACATTTCCCACAACCCCATTTCCATAAGCGGGAGTCGCAAATGGCCTGACCAGTGACAGAACCTTTGTCGGAATTGGGGAAACTATGGGTGTAAACGTAATCCCCATGATGTCTGCCAACGTTCTTAGTGTCGCTCACAAAGATATCAAGTAGAGTCTTCATTCTCTTGTTGTATTCCTTATCCTTGCTTTTATACTAGTCGAACTTTAGCTTCGTTCCAAAACCGGCATATGTCGAAGCCTCCATCGCTAAACAACAAACTCCAAAGCATTGTCGGCACCACCATATCTGAGATGAATGCACGAATATAATTGCGGGAGGAGAATTACTTAATTGGGACAAGAAAGCGCATCATATAGAAACTGGCGGTGGGAGGGATCGATTACTTTTGGGCATAATATATGGGAACGTTGCCTATTATTATTACTATCATTATCATTATTTATCATGTATTGATGTGAAGTCTTAATTGTTGCTACAAGCGTGACATCATATAGCAAATGATAGGAATCATGCATTATTATTACGAGCCTCTTTCTTGTTGTTCCTCCCGCCCATTGATAGGAATCATGCATATAGCAAATGATTACTGTTCTTAATTAACAATGACATTACCCCATTGAATTACGACTAAAGAGTTTGAAATAAGATATACTGATATAGGAGGGAAGTCAAAACCTTAACAATTACTCTATTACCAAATGATTCCAACTACATTACGTATGATGATATAGCCACCCCTACCCTTCAACCAGACTCAACCACTGGATTCATCGGTTAAATCAAGATCAACCCATGAGTAGTTTGGAAGTTGCGATTGTTTCGGTGAGATTGTTAATATAAACAAGAGCAATAAAGAAGTATTAATTAACTTGACACTCATTACATATTTTAGACCCTGGTGTGTAGAAAACAAAACGTGCAAATAGAACTAACATATGGTTTCCCCATTCAACGTGAATGAGACTACTTAAACGAGAGCTACTGCACTCAAGGTAAATTTCACTAGGCGTTTTCTTTTGTTACTCACATCCACACACCGAGCCTCCTAGTTAAGGCTATATACGACTTGCCCAACATCTACCAACTAGTGTTACAAGGCAAATTACCTAACACACCACCAACTAAAATATGTCGACAATAAATAAGTATATGACTCGCAACACTCCTTCTCAACCGGAGGCGTGAATGTCATTCAGGCCAAGCTTGGAATAAAAATAGGCAAACTGTTAAGCTCCCAAGCCTTTAGTAAAAGCATTTGCTAGTTGGTGAGCGGTGGAGAGCTTTTGAGGCTCTATTTCAGCACTGGCTTCGCGTTCTCGAACACAGTAACGTCCATTTCCACGTGCTTCGTTCTTTTTTGGAAGAATAGGCTAGCCGCTATGTGCAGGGCCTCTAACAGCAGCCCCACACTGTCATATAACTTGTTGATGTCAATTGTATTATCGCTACCAAATTTACATGGCCCAAAGGACAAGATCGCATTCCCTCAAGCCTCTTGCAGAAGCCTTATTCCAGAAGTGAGGTACGATTCTATTAAAGAAACATACAGTTTAGGAGGTTAATCTCCCTCCGGGCATGCAAAACGTAAGAATTTGTAAAGTAAAGCGATGCAAAAAAGTAAACCTACACTAGCTGAAGGAGAATAAGTGAGAGATCAGAGAAGGAAAGCGTTGCATATCCAATGCCCCCCCAACCCTCCCCCCCCCCCTCCCCCGGGCTCGATGATCGGAGTATACGAGCTCCGATTTCTTTATTTAGGAGATTAGGATAATTCGAATTTGTCCCTTTAGGCATCACACCATTTGATTGAATGAGGTTCGATCGAGTAGGATTGTTGTTTCTAGACCTATCCTAAGTGACTAGGATTCCAACCTTGCACCTCGAAGGAGTGCAAGATCAAATAAGCAGTCATTCGAATCAACAAATAACAAAACACATAAAATCAAGCATCACACATATGAAAACTAAACAATCGTATTAAACCAAATCAACAAGTTTACATGGTCAGAACCCCTAAGGTTCACATGCCAGCGCGTCTGCTGCTACACCCACCTCCTACATTGCTGAGCAGCTGGCAGCCCTTTCCCGCCAGAACGAGCAGATCCTTGTTGGCCAGGAGCACATCAACGCCCGACTCGACCGTGAGCGCGAAGGTCGGCCCCGCATCATTTCGGCTCGGCATTACATGATGAGCTACTGGACATGGACCCTGCTGCTATTAGCTACCCTTGGGAGGATTCCCCAGGGCATGAGGATTTTTACCCGCCTCCAACTGGCGACGGAGGCGATGAGAAGTAAGCTGGCTCTGCCTGCGATGGGCTCCATATTGTGTTTCCAGACTAAGACTAAGACTCCATATTGTGTTTCCTTTCCTCTTGTCTTGTTTCTTTGGATTGTAGACTTGGAACTATGTTTTCTTTCACCCAATGTGTGTGTTTTTTGCTGCCTATAGCTCTGTGCCCGTTGGACTGGTCCTTGTCCAGTTGTCTGCTATTGACTGGTCCGCCCTCCAGTCACCGTTCCTGACCACTTTTTCACGGTAACATCGTTCCCCTTCCTTCTGCTCCATTGAGGACATTGTCGCATTTAAGTGTGGGGGGTTCTTTGTATTCATTGGAACGTATATATGTGTGCTTGGAGCCTAGTCCGCTGTCCAAATCTCGAGATTTGAGGGCTCCAAGCACTGCTGTTTGCTTGATCATATTGGCACTGTGGTTTAATTGGTGAATTGAATGGCTTTTCGAATTAATGTATGACAACTAAATTGTGACTAGGACAACCTATTATGATGACTGAGACGTGCAGTGGAATTGTGTAGGGGTTCAGTTTTTCAACTGTTTGCTTACCAACTATGAATTGGATTGATCACTTGCTTTTGACAGTCGTTTATGCATCTAGTTCAAGGAATCAAAATGAGAGATAGAGCATATAGGTAGCCATGTGAGATTTGAGCCTGCTCGTTTCTTTTTTGTGCAATAGATCCCTCTTCCATGATGTGTAGCATTCACGTTGGCATTAGCTAAGATGATGGAGGCATAGGATTAGCCCACGACCAAATTGAGTGTCCTGGTGTGTCATACCCCCTAGTCAGCCCCTTTGAGCCGTGTCACGTCCTTTCTTTCGGTCTACAATGAAAAATCACCCTTTTGCATCTCTTAGAAGGTTCCACAGAGTGGTTTTTACATGTTCTCTGCTGTTCTACTAAATATAATGTGAGGGTTGGAGGTAGTTCTTAAAAAGTTGGGAATGTGTTTGAAAAATGTGCATAGGTGGTGGTTCTCTCTAGAAATGAAAAAAATGAATGAAAGCAAAATAGAGCCACCACCACAAAAATCTGAATAGTGCCCATTAAGTAGTGTTTCTTAGCAGTCTGGCTGGGAAATACTAACATTTATGTGACCTCATTCGCTCTTGTGCTCTAGAGAATTTGAGTAATGCAGAATAGCAGAAAGAAAGAGTGGTTTGATTGACTTTGAATGTGTTGGGTTTGGAATTGTGGAACCTTGTGCTATGAATACTTCCACCACCTATAAGGCCTTTTCCCCATGTCCAAGACCCTAGCTAGTCATTTGAACTTATATCTAAGACCTCTGGATTAGTTAGTTATGACACCCATTTTTGTAAACTCTAACATTTAGAGGTTGCCGTCATGGTGAAGAGACGTTAGGGATTGAGAGAATAAGTATGCGCATTTTTCGCATCAAATTGTCCTGACCCCACTGGTCAAGAGTGAGCGATTCATTTTCTTGTTCTTTACACTCTTTACCCTAGTGAGGACCTAGATGGCTCGGTCTTGATTCTGATGTCTTGAGTTTTATGCATGAGTTTACTGTCTTGAATAAGTGGTTGAGTCAAGTCTATGTTAGTTAGTGAACAGAAGGGAGACTCTTCCTTTACCCGATTTTGCTGCACTCGAATGTCCTCTTTGGTGGTCGTTCAGGTTACTGTTGAAGTTGTTCATGTGTTGATGTCTAAAAGCCAGTATGATTCTAGTGTTTCGTGCCTATGTGATATGTCCCCAAGGGTTGCATGATCGAGATGTTTCGAGCTTACCTTGTATCTGACTTGGTTTGCTTGGGGACAAGCAAACGGTTAAGTGTGGGGGAATTTGATAGCGTCGTATTTACACATGTTTTCACCCTTGTTTCCATACCATTTTAGCTTGAATTTGTTGTTCATTGGCCTATTTTACGCTAGGTTGTGTTGTTTTGTCGTATTTCAGGTCCTAGCAAGTAAAGAGGTGCATAGGCGCAAGTTTCGGGTCATTTGGAGTTCAGGTGGCGATTCAAAGAGCAAATTACGGGCAGCCCCTGCACAATTACGGGCGTAATTTCTCCTGGCTTGCCCGTAAATGCAATGCCGAGCCTTATTCTTCAGAATTCCTATCGCACAGACAATTACGGGCAAGAGTCATAGTGATTATGGTTGTAATTCCATAATTACTGGCAGTAATTGGTAATTACGACCATAAATCCTTTCTTCTGAGATAAGTGAAACACGCGTTTTGGGCAATTACGGGCACACTATGATTACGACCGTAATTCAGCCCGTAATTCGCCCAGAATCGGGTTTTTGAGGAAGATTCGAGCCAAAGGAGGGGGAGTCGACTTTTGGGAGCAAAAACAGAGTTTTAGAGAAAGAAAGTGCGAAGAACAAACCCTATGAGCTATTTGGAGTGGATTTCTCACCATTGAAGCCCAGATTGCATCCCCAGAAGTGAAGATTGACATCCCAGAGCAGATTTTCCTCATCTTTATGAGTATGACTACTCTGATTTCTGTTTTCCTCTCTCTCTCTCTCTCTCTCTCTCTATGGAGTAGAACCTTCTCTCACTTGGGTATGAAGAACCCTAGTACCATGTGTTAGTGATCTTGATTGTAATGACTTGGGATTGTTATACTGTTTGGTTTTAATCGAATGATGCATGAATCATTGAATTAATTGAAGTCTGATAATCTTTTCTTGATTTCTGCTGCAACCTGAGATAGATAGAATCTGAATAGGTTGTTAGAGCTCTCATCATTTGGTAGTGCTAGATTGATTATACGAGAGTTAATCGATTTACTGCTTTGTACTGGAACCCAATTCCAGTAGTGGAGTTCTGTGCTTTTTGCCTCAGTTTTCTATCCCGGTGAAGACTAGTCGTCTGACGGGTAGTT